TCATAGACATATTGCTGTTTACGCACATGATGATGGAATAAAAAATATAGATTTTGACAGTATGCATTGCGTTCCCATGTCATATGTATCAATCTGGCCGTGCGGGGAACCAGAATGGCATATTTCAATGCCAATTGGAGGAGAGCGCAAAACAAAAATTCGCCAAAATATTTCTATGCGAGAAAATATATCTTACAGACTTATGGTTCGAGGTTTAACTCCTGTAGGAGACTTCAATCCAATAATTAATGCTGGGAAGTTAACGCAGCAGTTGATTGTTGATTATTACTGTCGCATCGATGGCGACAGATTGAAATTCATCCGTAACGAACAGGTGAAATTGTGAGTAGATACATACGTTGGTCTTGCAGACGCTTTACATGTAAGGGCCGACTTAAAGGCTGGACGTGTTGTTATTTTACCTTCATCGTTTACTGGCGGTCCTCGAAACATGATGCAAAATTATCAGGACGAAATGGCCATTGTAAGAAAATTTGGTAAGCCAGACATTTTTTTGACGTTTAAATGTAATCTTTTATGGCCTGAAATTACAAATAGCATACATTCTTACGAAACTGCTAATAATAGGCCAGACGTTACTGTTCGCGTGTTTCATGCAAAAGTAAAGGAACTCTTGCGTTTAATTAACCAAAAACAAATATTTGGCGAAGTACTAACATATTTGTACACTGTTGAGTTCCAAAAGATAGGTTTACCTCATGTTCACCTAGAAAAGTCTAAAATGTATAACCGGCCATAAGAAACACATCCTCCATTTTGAGGGTATAATGACGAAATTTTATGATGTACTATACCAAGAAATTTAAGGAGGTGCTGTAACATGAAACTTTCGTCACTCACTTGCATTTTCCAATACACCCGCCGTCGAATTTCGACGGGGTTACGCTAGTTATGTTTTAAATTGCAACTGAAATAAACTGGCTTAACCATGACGTTAAACAATGAGACGACATTGTACACAGGGTGCACAATGACACTCGTGCAATTTTTCAAAATTTCGTTGATTCTGAAAAGGTAAAAATAGAGTTGTAGATTCTTATCTGTTTTATTAGGATGATCAATGGACAAATGGGAAGAAACGGTTATGGCTGTTTTTTGATTTCTCTGATATTACTAGAGATGCAATTAATTTTTTGAACATGAGTCACAATTTTACACAGTGACCAGTTGAAACAAAGGTTTTTCCCTTGAATTCAATTTAGCAGACATGTTTTTAACCACCGCATAATACTTTTAACTTAAATGGAGTATTCAATATTAATCAAAACTGGAGGTTAGGTTAGGTTAGGTTTGTTGTGAGTGGGTCTCAGTAGACCCTCCACTGCGGCCATCAGCCGGCCTATTGTGGCTCACGCCTAATTATATTTCACCCAATAAGTTCAGTCTCTTAATGAAACTGATAACTTTATTGGGTGAGAATGTGTCCAGATCCTCTGGCAGCAGTTGCCCTTTGCCAAAAATTGAGAATCGGATCCTCTCCACAGCGGGACAGGTGCATAAGATGTGGTCTGCCTTCTCATCATTCTCCAGGCATAGACGGCACTCGGCGTTTTCCGCTAGGCCGAGTTTATGCAGATGATAGTTTAGTCGGCAGTGCCCGGTATATAGGCCTGTTAGAGTTTTCAGGTTTATCCTCTTTAACTCTAAAAGTTTCTTAGCTCTCGAAACTGGAGACTTAACGATCCAATCACGATTTTATGGAGTTACTTGTTCACATGAATTTAACAATTTTCAAGTACAGAGTTATTCATTATAAATTACCCACCCCTTATCATCGTTAGTGTTGCCTATAGAAAAAAAAGTTTTAAATAAAACTTGTGTGGTTATTACTGAATTTTGTTAAAATGCTATCAAAAATACAGTATCGTGCAGATTTCAGGGAATACAAAAAAATTATATTTTTTTAGTGGGATATCCTATATACCTATTATTAAATTTTTGGAATGATTTCAAAAATATACTATATGTTATCCCTACCATATACCGTTTTTGAGTTATTAAACATCGAATATCTTAGTTAAACTAGTTAGGTACTGTAAATATGGAAATGTTAACATTAACATTATTAAAGTGAGTTATGAAAATGACAACTATTATGTTTGATAAGTAATATTTCTTTAATGAAATAATCAAAATGGTTTACAGTGAGGAAGAAAAAACCAAATATTTATACAAATAGATAACAAAGATTTATTTACGAAATTTAAATATAAATAAATGATCTCATAAAAGATGTTCGATGTGTCCACCATTATTGTCAATGCATAATTGATAACGTCTTGTTATATTTGTAATTGCACCGGAAATGGCTTCATTATTTACATTTAGATTGTTTAGTTCAAGTCAAATCCTGTCTTTAATGACTTGAATACTATTATTATTATTATTATTGTTATTGACAATGTAAATTAGAAATCCCCAAAAAAAATCCATAGGGGTCAAATCCGGACTGTTTCGTGGCCATTTAATAGCTTCATTATTCCCTATCCATATTGAGAATACATTATTTAAGTGATCTCGACCGGGTAGGATACTATGCGGAGTTGCCCCATCCTGCAACCAAATCATATCATCATGTTCGGCTTCCGGAAAATTCTGCAAAAGATTATTTTCTGCTTCTGGGATAACTATTTCCAAATAGGTAACTCCAGTTAAAGTATAATCATAAAATATAGGCCCAACAATTTTGTTTCTGAAAATTCCAAGCCAAACGCTAACCGTTTCTCTTACTGGTTTTTTTATTTGTTTAACCAATATTTTTCTGTTGTGTTTGTTTTCCCACAACCTTCGATTTTTCCTATTAAAAACTCCTGCCGTAGAAAAGGATGATTCATCAGTCCATAATATTTTAGTAAAAAAATCGGGATTTCCATCCAACTTTTGAATCATCTGGCGGCAAATGTCCAGCCTTTTCCTTTTATGAGCCTCTGTTAAAACTTGTACAGGTAACATTTTATATGGTCTGTAGCTGTTATTTTTTAACGTACGTTGGGTTTTGGAATTACTTTTACCTAATTGATCGACGGCATTATTTATACTACATTCAGAATTTTCTAAAAAATTATACAATGTTTCAAAAAAAGTCTATTCGCGAATAAATATGGATGGGCTTGCCTTCGAAATGAAGCAGTATATCTAGCTGTTCTTTCTGGTTTGCTTGACCTACACGCTTTTTTCTACTAAAACTGGAGGTATTATTCACCTTTCGGTAAATATTTTTGAATGTATTTTCTGATGATGTTGGACGATTTGAATACAACATCATATATGCTCTTTTTGTTGCACGTTTATTTTTGTTATTTTGTATATAACAATTCAATATTTGGACTTTTTCTTCCTCACTGTAAACTCTTTTGATTATTTCATTAAAGAAATATCACTTATCAAACATAATAGTTGTCATTTTCATAGCTCACTTTAATAATGTGAACTTTTCAATATTTACTGTAAACTAGTTAAAGATATTCGACGTTTAATAACTCAAAAACGGTATATAGTAGGGGTAACATATGGTATATTTTTGAAATCAGGAACAAAAGGATCATTCCAATAATTTAATAATATACACAGTATCCCATTCAAAAAAAATATATTATTTTTGATAGCATTTTAACAAAATTCAGTCATAACCACACAACTTTTATTTAAAACTTTTTTTTCTATAGGCAATAATTTATTTATTTATTTATTTATTTATTTCATACACTGCCCAACAGGTACAAGACCCAACTACAGGGCAGGGGGGATTCTGACAGTTTAATACAAACTGAAATTGTAAATATAAAAAAAAAGTTATAACAAAAGTACAAAAGTGTTAAAGCTTAAAATTAAGAACACATGTATGTGAACATTATTCGCACACCATAAACCTTAGTTTAAAATAAACACGTACAATAATGAGAAATAAAGAACATTTTTTTAATAGAAAAAATATATGATAAAATAAAGAAAAACAGGAAAAAGCAAAGAAAAACAAAGACAGTATATTAGCCTGCATCATAGTAGCTTTTCAGATCACTAAGGCTGCAATTAAATATGTCGATATCTGTACAAATGGAGTTATGATTTTCGCAGATTATGTGAATGGGAGAGAATTTTAGAGCATTTGACCGAGGTGTCGCTAAGTAAAATACATAATAACGATGATAAGGGGTGAGTAATTTATAATGAATAACCCTGTACATTTCGGAAATGTTGAGGAAAATTTATATATTATTTATATATTTATATACACAAATTTAAAAAATTGTTTCTGTAATTGTCCCCGACATATCCGAAATTTACTTCAACATTGTCAAATTTATAATCGTTTTCATTTGACAGAGTACGGAATCGTTAACTCCATAAAATCACAAGTCGTCAAATCGTCTCTCTAAATAATGTTGATTACTACATATAAATTGCGAGGATTGTGGGGCGATTAGAGGCATGTTTGCTAAATTTAATTGGAAAAAAAAACCTTTGCATCAAATGCTCACTGAAGAGTGACAGGTCAATGTGTAAAAGAATGACTAATTTTCAGAAAACAATTGCATATCTAAAAATATCAGATATAAAAAACACCCAAATCCATTTCTTCCAATTTATCTATAGATCACACTAATATGACATAAAAACCTACACTTGTTTTTTCACATTTTCGGAACCAATGAAATTTTTAAAAATGCACGGTTTTAATTGTATACAACCTATTTTGTCGTAGTTTGATGTCATGATTAAGCCAGTTTATTTCCGATAAAATTTGCAAGAAAATATTCAAGACTGTATCTCAATATCTCCTATTGTATTAAAGATATTTTTCTTCAAAATTACACAAGAGAATTAAATTAAATTAAACATCACAGATAATACAACCCTCTGTATCCCTAAAGGTATCTCAAGGTACCTTGTGCGGGAGAGGGCTACACATTTAGAGACAATATACACACAACCAATGTCCGAGTGTGCTAAGATTAATTTCTGGTTTAGAAAAAAATCCTAGCCTCTCGATCAGGGATCGAACCTGGAACTCCAGAGGAAGAGGCAAGTATCGTTACCACTCGACCACGGAGCCACACTAATTATTAATTTCATTTGGCTAGCAGTTTATTTAAATTTGTAACTACCTTCTCTATGTATTTCTCGGTGTTGCAATCTCGATGTGACACACTACATGTATACTGTACAGTGTGTTCCAAACGGAGTGAAATCATAAGCTTTTGCCTATTTCTGTAACAGATAGAGCTTGAACCTCGTATTTTTTTTGAGAGAATTCTAATGGCGAAGGTCTCATTTCGATACAACTTCTCGTTCTCAATGAAAAATAATTGTGACTACAAAAAATGCTTATATTTTATGTTTTTCTATGATATGACATAATATGTTGTAGGTTCCCATTGTTTTGCCAATTATATAAGATATTTTTATAAAAACCCATTAAAAATAAATGCAAGTATCTTGTAGAGAAAAATCAAGAAGGTTAGGACTATTTTCTTCTCTAAAATCCAATTCTGCAATAAATTTTTTTCCAAACGAATTTTTACTGCATGTAAAAATCTCCACTATTAAGAAACCAGCGCCAGTGTAAAATGCAATTTTGACAGAAAGCGCGATAACGCACAGAAAGAGATTTCGAAGTTCTATACCCTCACCGTTGGAATTCTCTCAAAAAATAAGTTGAAGATTGTGCAATTCATTTTTCTCTATCTGTTTCAGAAATAGGCAAAACTTCCTTATTGCAAGCAAATCGGGACATTTAAATGACGTAGCTTTAGCGGTGGTGATTGATTACTAGAGATGCTTACCTGCGCTCATAGTCATGGTATGTTACGTTTGTGAGTGGCCTTTTATCAGACCCTCCACTGTGACGATTCGGTCTATTATGGCTCACACCAAATTATATTGCACCCAATAAGTTCGGTCTTTTAATAAAACTGATGACCTTATTCGGTGAGAGTCTGTCCAGGACCTCCAGCAGGAGTTGTCCTGCCAAATTCTGAGAACCTGATTCTTTCTGCAGCAGGGCAGATACGTATTCTGCATTTTCCTCATCCTCCAGACACAGACGGTATTTAGTGTTTTTCGCTAGTCCTATTCTGTGTAGATGATGATTTAGTTTGCAATGTCCCTGAAGCCAATTAGAGTCCTTAGGTTTAACCTGTTTAGCTTTAATAGTTTCTTGCTTCTTGATTTCAAGGGATATGTTATAATTTGAATGGACTAATCCTGGTAAGTATTGCCAGTGCTGGAATGTTCTTTCTACCCTCGACCCATGCCAAGATGGTTGTGTCGCACTCGTACTTTTTATGGCTGGAGAAACAGCTATTTTGTTACCGTCAATTCCAAGGCCAGACCAGAGTTAACCTGTTGCTTTTACCCAGTTGGGTTAGAGGTTTTTAACAGTTCCATACCGTATTAGAGTGGCAACGATAAAAGCCAAGAGATTTAAGAGCTGCTTGATTGTCTGCTTAGTAGCCCTATGAATCAAATAATCAAAAATAAATAGAAAAGTCGTCTACATTTGAGCAATGGCGAGTAATGGACAACGTTTCATTTATACATATTATCATTGTATTTGTTGACACTATAAATGCATTTCTGCAATATAGCAGTACATGAGCACGTCGTACTTAATTTGATATACACGCAAAGATCCAAACAACAAACTATAGTCGACAAAGAACAAAGACTCTCTGCAGTTATATCCGAGTAAATCAAAAGCCATCCTCGAGGTACAGAAATATTTTAACAGTCTTGAGATAGAAGAGGCGATACATCTGATTCATAGCAATTATAGTATACGACGATTTGAAAATTCTTCATTACCTTTTGAAAAGTTTTGAAATCTTATGCATGATGTACAAAATGAATTAAACACTCTACAGGATGCTCCCGTATGCTAGTAAGTAAACGGTATAACGATATTTTAAACGGCATCTCAATGAAGAACATGATTTGGAAATTTTTAAATTGAAAATATTACTTCTATAGATGTTAAAAGATCATTTTCGCTTTATACACGAAGGAGACGTTTTTCAGCAGAAGACATAGAAACTGTGTTACTCGTGCAAATGTTCGCTACTGCGTAATCTTAGCTATTGTCCTCGGTATGTAGCATGTAAAAGGTAAGCAGTTTCATACCTGTAAGCATGTAGTTATTTTATTTATCATCTGTGGCAACTTAAATATGTTATTATCGGGAACGTACATGTGACGCTACTGAAAGCGGCCGCCGTTGAGTAACTTTCTTGATAACTTCTCTCATGGCCGCGCCAAAAGAGCAAAAATGTAATTTACTAAAAAAATGTATTGTCCTGTATAACAAAGTATTGCAAAACCTTACACGGATAGTGATATTTCGATGTGAGATTGTAAATGAAACCATTATTTACAAGTTAGATGAGGATAGTTTTTGAATGTGGTTTAATAACGAATGTTGGAGAATAAATTGTAGCGGGCGTGGTCGGGTTTAATATGTTGTATCGTATATTTTAGTGAATGAATTATGGTTTTGAATCTAAATATGTATGTATGTTAATAACTTACACTGTTTAATGTTTCTTCGACCATTTAATCAGTATAATAATGTACAAGCAATTTCAGCGACTGCTCTAACAGGTTTTATAGACGAAATCGACTAACCCCTTATAAGAGCAGTTTAAATAATGTATTTGCGACTTACCAAGTTACCCGAAGTAAAATGTTTAAGTCATTTAGTGCCCAAAATTTCGATGATAGCTAGTTTACTATTCTTGGAATGTACATTTGGCAGAATCAAATGATATCTTGTCCCGTCCGGTTTATGTTATTCATGGATTTGGCAACGTTAGCGTGCCTGGCGGATTGCACACCTATGATATTTTTAGAGTAGATGAAACTAGGGTCACTGTCATTGCTACAAACCCGGAAAACAATAAAAATTGACCATTATTCATTTAGTTCAGAAAAAAGATATTATGATTACAGTAACGCAGGATTTTAGTTGGAAAATGGACACAGGTTGTTTCGATGTACTGGGTGATCCAACTTTAACACTATTACACATGAATTCGCCCTATCAACGCAATTAATTGATTCATTAATTTATTGTTTTATTTTGTTTAATATGTACATTTATTTATAGCCCAATTACTTAATTTTGTATGAAAGTTATTGAAGATATTTGGTCTTTTCGTAATCTAAAATTAATTATTTAGAGTCATGTCGAGCCTCTTAGAGTCAGCTAGAGGATTGTGGAAGTATGTGAAATATTTTCAATAGGACTTTGACCAAGATATACATTATACATATTGAGCTCATTGTCAAAAATAATAGAAAAAAATTCTTTATGATCATATTATGTCATTTGCAGAAAAATATAAAATATTTTCCGAGTGTCAATATGGACTTAGACCAACTAAATCACCGGAAGCAGCAACTGCATATTTTTTAAAATATATCTATTAAGAGCTGGATGAAGGCAGATATGTTGTGTTTCTATTTTTCGATTTGTCAAAAGTTTTCGATTGCGTGGATAGCAGCATCCTTTCACAAAAATTAGAAAACATTTGGTAATAGAGGTACCTTTTAAGTTATATCAACTCCTACATGGAAAATCGAAAGCTAGTGGTAAATTGTAACAATTTTGAGTCGGATATCCATGACGTAACTTTGGGTGTTCCACAGGGTTCAATTTTAGGGCCTCTATTGTTTTTGCTCTACATTAATGATTTACCAGATCGCATTCAATATGGTATTATCACGATGTATGCAGATGATAGCACTGTTACGGTGTCAGCTGCTACACAGGAGGAACTTAACCTTAAAATTTATACCACACTTGACGATGTTCATGCTTGGTGCCAGAGAAATAAACTCATTTTAAACAATGATAAAACTGTATTTGTAAATTTTTACTACAGGACAGCATTGATCTCTGATGATCTATCATTTTCTAAAACAACCAAGTTCTTAGGCACATTCATTGACAGTAGCTTGACATGGGAATCACATATTGATTATGTATGTAAACTGCTTAATAAAGCCTATTACGCAATTTTACAGTTAAAAGACACAATTGCCGAGACTGGTCTCTTAAGTATCTATTATGCTATAACTTATCACATTTGTCATTAAATATATTGGCCTGGGGGCGATCAAGTCATCTACAATGAGTCTTTGTCTCCCAGAAGAGATTACTAAGATTGCTTTTTAATTTAAAGAACAGAGAAAGTTGTAGAAATACTTTTATAAACAAAAATATGTTTATTGTTTCTAGCATTTACATATTAAAGTGTCTAGTTTTTGCTAAAATTAATTTACATGCCTTCCCCATCTTAGCAGACAGTCATACGTATGATACTAGAAATAACGAGTTATTGTCAATTCCGACTCACAAAATAGTCACATTTAAAAACTCTCCACACTATAATTGCATTGTTTTATTTAACACTGTACCTAAATGTATTAGAGATATGAAGCTATCTGCATTTAAAAAAGAAATAAAGAAATTACTGATAAGAAATGGCTATTATTATTGTGTGTATGAGTTTTTATATAGACAGATTTTATTTCCTTTATGTGTTTTTTTACAATTGTGAGTTCATATGTCTTGTCCTTTATTTGTGTATGTATAATATATGTATATATATATATATATATATATATATATATATATATATATATATATATATATATATATATATATATATATATATATATATATATATATATATATATATATATATATATATATATATATATATATATATATATATATATATATATATATATATATATATATATATATATATATATATATATATATATATATATATATATATATATATATATATATATATATATATATATATATATATATATATATATATATATATATATATATATATATATATATATATATATATATATATATATATATATATATATATATATATATATATATATATATATATATATATATATATATATATATATATATATATATATATATATATATATATATATATATATATATATATATATATATATATATATATATATATATATATATATATATATATATATATATATATA